ACATTACCCAAGGAAGCTAGTGAACGATCTGTACCAAGGAAAACTCTTAATTCTTTAGCAAGAAGCCATCTCATTCAGCATCTAGAGAAAATGTCTGGTACAATGAGAAGTTGGGAACAGCCCTGAACAAAGTCTTCACTTCCATTTTCCTGATGAATAACATCCTCACCAAAGTTACCACTGTATAGTACCTTTGTACAAATTGGTCAGTGATCCTCCTCCCAGGTGAGACTCAGGCAGATCCACACTGGTACACAAGGTGTTTGTAGTAAGCAGATTACAGGTTGCCAAGAGTGCTTTGCAGGGTCACAAAAAATTTGTAACAGCTGGAAAAAGCCCTACACACTTGGGAATGATACTCAAACCACTGCGTTGCCTCCCAAGCTTTGAAAAGTCACTCAGCTATGATTTATGTTTCCTCAACCTGTAAACTTAAGAATAAAAGAAATATTAATAAAACTGTTAGAACAATGAAGGTGCAATCAGGTGTGTGAGAGAACTAGAACATTCCCTGGTACACTGCAAATGCTCAAATTAATGGCAATTAATATTAAACATCCAATTATTAGTACTGTAAAACCACCTGAGGGAAAGATACGGCCAGTCCCCAAGGTTACAAACAAGACTAGTTCCTAACTATGTAAGTCATCATGTTGGAAGAGGTATATACAATTCTTATTTAGTCCTTCAGTAGTGCAAGGCTGGAAAATCTTTCAAATACTTCAAAAGCTGCACATGCAGCAAATACAGGTCTCACTGTGATAATACACTTTTGCAAAACGAGGGCAAATTTACCAGGGCTTCAGATTTGTTTATTCTGGTTTTACACCCTGTTGAGAATTTGCATTTCTACACCAGATACAGTCCACAGAATCAAGATATACATTTTAACTAAAGTGGAAATGCACAATCTCAGCAGGGCATCAAACAGGATCCAACCATTAGAAGCCCTGAAACCTACCAACATTAAAGGGCAGTAAGAGGTGTCCTAAATTGGATGGCCATAACCCAGGGATTTTCAGTATTCTAATATAGAAAACATACGCACCCTAAAACTGAACCTATCTGTTGAACTTTCTCAGTGGGGAATGGCTGAAGAGGAGGTTATCACGAATGGCAGATCCTGTCATTCCAGGGAAGAGGAAACACTTTGCTGGCACCTAGCCACTCCCTGGAAACCCTATACAGGGTCTTAACAACAGAAAGAGTAAGTATGGCGCTGAGACTGACTGAATTAGTCTGGTGATTTTACACTGTCTCTCTAAACGATCAGATAGCCTACAATGAACGGGACCACCAGCTTTGAGAAAGAAGTTTCTGTGAAAAGACACAATAAAGTAGCAAGGAAGAAACAAAATTCTTACCCATAATGCTATTCATTTCTACATTATTAAGTGCCGTCAAGTCAGATCCAACTCATAGTGACCCTCGTATCAGGTTTCCAAGGAGTGTCCAGTGGGTTTGAACCGCCAACCTTGTGGTTCAGCAGTACAGTGCTTATCCTATAGCTCCATACCAGTTCATTTCTATAAAGTATATCAAAATAATTTTTAAAATTCTATGTATGTAAGATGGGACTTCAGAAAATTCATGGGAAAATTCCATTATCTTTTACTTCTATTTTTTTCCACCAATTTTTGGAAGCCCCTTTGTATACAATTGTCCACGTGACATGCCTTTAGAGAAGAAGACAAAGAATAAGCATTACTTTTGTACTGGTAGAGGAAGTGAGCACAAAAGGTGAGGGAATGAATTTTCACAGGAGATTAAGTGTAGCTATGTTTCTGGGTACACTGTTGATGGCCCTTAGGGCAAGCCTAGGTCGTGGCTGCATTTGACACGGAGATGGAAGAGAAACCGGAAAGAGGAGGTATTGGGATGCCTTTGGGTGGGGAAGGTGGGAACTGGATGTCAACAGTTGTATCTCTTTATTAGAAAGGTCTCTAAAGGGCACCACAGGTCAGGAGCAATCCCCTAAGGCACACTGTAGGCATGGACTAGTTCCTGTCATGCCACGCATGGTACCACATTAGGACAGAAAGGCTACATGATAAACTGGCATTCTTTAATTCTGGTATTTTTCTCAAGAGACTGTCACTAGCTTTTTCACCAAATGATCAGAAATTAACAAGAGTTCTGGAGGGTTTATTAACAAAAAACTTTTCCAGAATAGATCAAAGAATGAGGGATAACGGGAAATGAAAGCCTAAGTTCGATATTTGCATTCCACAAACAAGTTGGATTTCTTTAGGTTCTTCTCTTTACCTTAATATTTAGCGGCTATATTAAATCAGGAGTCCTGGTATGGCGCTGTGGGTTAATGCGCCAGACTGCAAAGCGGAATGAACTGCAAGGTCGGCAGCTCAAGCTCACCAACTGCTCCTTGTAAACCCTATAACAAGGTTGCTATGGGTCAGGATCAACTCAACGCACTTCACAGCAACAACATATTAAATCAGGGATAGGGAGAAGTTTCCTCCTTCTAGCCTCCATCAAAAAAAGGGTGAGGGGGCTGAGAAAGAAAGAGAAATCTGTAACAGCAAACAGGAGCCGCTGTCAGAAGCAGCTCTCCAAGGCTAGTCTTCCAGTGCAGGACAGAGGAGAAAGACTGCATAAAGACTGGGGACACTGAGAGATCCCATTACATGGGAACTGAGGAAGAGAGGCTAACACACATAGCTGCTAACCAAAAGGTTGAGGGGTTCAAGTCTACCCAAAGGCACCTGGGAAGAAAGGCCTGGTGATCTACTTCTGAAAACTTTAGCCACTGAAAACCCTGTGGAATAGAGTTCTCCCCTCACACGCTTGAGGTCACCATGCCAACAACAGTGTAAGGAAGATTCTAGCTAGAGAAAGCCCACGGAGAATTACTGCCCAGCAAAACCCAATTAGCCAGATTACTTTGGGTTAGATGGGTAACTAAAGCAGCAAGCTTCACCATCAAGATCACACTTCTCTATATTCTTTCCTTTTGTGAAGGATACAGTTCCTACGTTTTCTAGGCTGAAGATGTCCTTTTAGCAGTTCAGAAACAAACCTGGCTTCTCTTAGTGCTTAAATGTGCTCAGTGGGTTAAAGGTCTAGGGTTTAACAGTATTCAACACTGGAAGAAAAATACTTTAAAAGAAAAATAACACACCAGTTTTCTTACCTCTTAACCTACAGGAACACAAATTCAGTAATTAAAATACATACTCATGGAAAAAAGAAAATTATTTACTAATCCCATTTTCCCCCCTCAGCTCTAGCTATTAACCAAGGTACACCAAAACCTTAACATCACTTCTCAAATGGAGCACTAGAACTCAGAACGTAAAGAAGCATTGCATCATAGATCTAGACTGGACCTACAAAAGCACAATTTCAGACCTTTTTTGACCACCTTTTAAGTAGTATTGTTTTAGGGAGAAGATTTCGTTTTAAAAAAACAAATATCAAAAAGAAAGCACATTTAAAACGTCAAGTTTGGGTGATCAAAGTAGGTAAAGTCATTTTATTATTAATGTCAGAACCTAAAAAAGTAATTTGTTACATTTGCTAAGATAAATCTGAGATGACTTTTCGTACCAAGCATGTGTGCCCTGTATAGTGATACTGGTCCTCGGACATTAAGGGACACATCTCCAACCCTCTTTAGAGATGGGGTTGGGTGGATAAAAGTATGCTGACTCACAATTAGCGTGCGCTGGTTGGCTGTTTTGATTTATCACTCTGGCATGTGGGCCAGGAAGAATTCAGGCTAAGAAGGATCCATTCTTGAACTCTGACAGCCTCAGTTTTGACTTTGAAGCTTCTCTTTTCCTACTTTTTATTTGGATGATTCTTAGGGGCTTTCTCATATTTAACATGAGTTATGATTCAAATGGTTCTATAAGCCTAAATCTGAAAATCCTTACAAGGTGGCAAAAGACCTGTAGAGGTGCTAGATGACTAAAAGTTAAACTGAGGCCAGATACGATGAAAAACAGACTAGCCCAAGGTCAGAGACAGTGACCATCCACCACCACAAGCAATGCCGGCCAGGGTGAGCACAGACAAAAATGGCTGGAAGAGACCTCAACAGGTCATTTAGACTATCTTCCTGCCTCTCAACAAGACAAATTTTGCTTTGGCCAGGGTTATCTGCCCTTGGCACTCGTAGGCAGGAAACCCTAGGTCTCTCTCATTCTATTTTGAAATTGAGCATATTATTTTTTAAAGATTCCTAAAGGTGGCATCTTTACAAGGTGAGTCTGAGCAAAAGTATAGAGCAATGACTCCCACAGGGTCTCAAAAGGAACGTGGGGGGAAGAGGAACAGTGCAGTACCTGAGAGGCAGCTGAGACATTAAGGAGAACACCCCCATGCTACAAGACTAAAACGGGGGGGGGAGAAGAATTAAAAAGGAGTGACTGCAAAATTCAGCCTGTTCATCAGGAGATAGGAAATTCCACGGGGATGAGCAACTGTCAAGTCAGCAGCTGAAGAGCCCACAGCTAAGCCCTACTGCCTAGGAGTTTCTCTCCCAGATTCTCCTAAATGAACCCTCACCCTCTAGAGCAGTAGCTCTCAGCGGGGGATAATTCTGCCCCCCAGGGGACATTTGGCAATGTCTGGATATATTTTTGGTTGCCATAACTAGGGGGAGGGGTGCTACTGGCATCTAGTGCATAGATGCCAGGGATGTTGCTAAATATCCTATAATACACAGGACAGCCTCTTACAACAACGATTTGTCCAAACATCAGTAATGCCAAGGTTGAGAAAGGCTGTTGTAGAGGGAGTATTTTATGTCTAAGGTTCTGAATCCAGCATGAGCCCCAGCCCCCAGAACTTAAAATCAGATAAACATGAACTCCCTTTACCTCAAGCCCTGAAGTGTGCATCAATCCACTGCCTTGTTTAGCGGAAGCCCCCAATTATCCCAGAGTGTTTCACAAATGTCCAATCAGCTGCTGGCGGTTCAGATTCCAGTCAATATAACTAAAACTTACATCCTTCTTTCTCTTCAGAAAAATTGGCTATTTCTTTCTCAGAGCCAGTGTTACTCCAACTGCCACTGCTAGGATAGCAACAGCAGCAGCACCCCCAAACAGTAGGAAAGACTTGCCCTCAGACAATGGGATGGCCTCCCCTTCTCCAACCGGGATGGAGATGTTCTTCTCCCCTTTGCTCAGCACTGTTTGTGTGGGTTCCAGTGCGGAAACCACCACCTCCTCCAGTTGAACGGGTTCCACTGTTGCTGCTTCCACCTCTTCTTCATCAAGCACTACAAACGAGGATGTAGCAGGGCTAGTTTGCTCAACTGCAGTCATTCCTGTGCTGGGCTCCCTGGTCTCCAGCAGGGAAGTGGCAGTGATATGTGGAAGCAAATGAGCTGGGGTTTCTAAAAACGCCTCTTGCAGCTCTTGGGGCGGCAGGTCGGCAGAGGCCATAGCAGCCTCTTCCACGCCCTCAGGGATTTCTTCTTTCTCAACATGTACAATGTCTGAATTAGAAGAGTTGTTCTCACTCTTCTCTCCAGCTCCATTGCTATCCAAGCTCTTGACTTCTTCAGGATCCATTGCAATCTGTTGCCAAGACTCAGGGCCAAGAGACACAGGTAGGCTTTCTGTATGCCAGCTCTGGCTGGCTGACAGTGACACAGGTAAGCTCTCCGACTGCCAAGAAGTGGTCACAGTTGGGGACTCTGGAGGGCTGACTTGTCCAGAGTTGTCACTTGGCAGGATATAAATGTCATTGCTATCTTCTGCAATGACTCCTGGGTATTCCTCCTCCTCTGACTCAAGATTAAAAACCGTGCCCTAGAAAAGAAGGAGGAGAGTCAGTACAGAGGACTGAAAATAGGCTAAAAGTCATGTAATCTAGAAAAAAACTTTTCTTTCCCAAAGTCAATTTCTAGGAATAAAAACAAAGTTTTAGCCTATTAAGTTTTCCGGATAGAATGTATTTATTTGTATGCCAACACAGAGAAGGATTTTTAACAAGACTGTCAACCCTCCAACCAGTTTCCTTGAAGCTACAAAATCAGTTAGTTGAGATTCAATTTACATATAAGGTAGGGCTGCAAAAACTTCATGGAATGATTCCATTATCTTTCAATTCCATTTAATTCAATAATTATTGCTAAACAACAGAAATAATAGAAACAAGAAGCTTGCTCTCACTGTCAAATGTGCCTTAATCTAAGTACTATCAAGAATTTAAGATGGACTCTTTGGGACACAGGGAAAGCGGTGCTGAGAGGACAATGTATTGCAATAAACACACACATCCAAAAAGAAGAAAGAACCAAAATTAACACATTAACCCAGCATCTACAACAATTAGAAACAGAACAATAGAGGGAACCCACAGCCAACAAAAGAAAAGAAATAATAAAGATTAGAGCAGAAATAAATGAGATAGAAAACAGAAAACTATAGAAACAATCAACAAGACAAGAAGCTGTTTCTTTGAAAGAATTAACAAAATCGACAGACCATTGGCAAACCTAACAAAAGAAAAGAGGGAGAAGACACAAATAACATGCATTAGAAACCACCTGGGAGATGTCACAATGGAACCAAAGGAAATCAAAAGGATAACAACAGAATACTATGAAAAGTTGTACTCCAACAAATTTGAAAATGTAGAAGAGATGGATACATTTTAGACAAACACGACCTACCTAAGCTTATACACAGTGAAGCAGAAAACCTGAACAGACCCATAACAAAAGAAGAAATTGATCATTAAAAGACTCCCAACCAAAAAAAGTCCAGGCCCAGACGGCTTCACTGGTGAATTCTACCAAACGTTCAGGGAAGAGCTGTCACCAATTCTACTCCAGTTATTTCAGAAGAAAGAGGAGGATGGAAATCTTCCTAATACATTTTATGAAGCAAGCATAAACCTCATACCAAAACCAGGGAAGGACATCACTAAGAAAGAAAATTATAGACCAATATCCCTCATGAACATAGATGCAAAAATTCTCAACAAAATCCTAGCCAACAGAATTCAGCAACACATCAAAAAGATAATACATCATGATCAAGTGGGATTCATATCAGGGATGCAAGGATGGTTCAACATTAGAAAAACGATCAACGTTATCCACCATATAAATAAGAAAAAAGAAAAGAACCACATGATCAAATCGATTGATGCAGAAAAGGCATTTGACAAAATCCAACATCCATTCCTGATAAAAACACTCAACAAAATAGGAATTGAAGGAAAATTCCTCAAACATAATTCAGAGCATATATACACAAAACCAACAGCCTACATTACTCTCAATAGACAGAAACTGAAAGTCTTCCCTCTGCAAACAGGAACCAGACAAGGATGCTTTGTCACCACTCCTATTCAATATTGTGCTGGAAGTCTTAGCAAGAGCTATACGGCAAAACAGGGAAATTAAAAGCATCCAAATTGGCAAAGAGGAAGTAAAACTCTCCCTATTTGCAGACGATATGATCCTATACATAGAAAACCCCAAAGACTCAGTAAAAAGGCTACTAGACCTCATAGGAAGATTCAGCAAAGTGGCAGGACATAAGATCAACATACAAAAATCAGTTGGAGTCCTCTATACCAAAAACGACAGCGTTGAAAAGGACATAAGGAAAGCAATACCATTTACAATAGCCACCCAAAGGATGAAATATCTAGGAATAAATGTAACCAGAGAAACAAAGTACTTATACAAAGAAAACTACAAAACACTACTACAAGAAACCAAAAGAAACTTACAAAAATGGAATAATGTACCATGCTCCTGGATAAGAAGACTTAACATTGTGAAAATGTCACTACTGCCCAAAGCAATTTACACATATAATGCGATCCCAATCCAGATTCCAACGACATTCTTCAAAGAGATGGAAAAAACAATTACAAACTTTATATGGAAAGGAAAGAGACCCAGGATAAGCAAAGCACTACTTAAGAATAAGAATAAAGTTGGATGCCTGTCACTTCCCGACTTCAAAATTTACTACACGGCTACAGTGGTCAATACAACTTGGTACTGGTACAATCAAAGGTACATGGATCAATGGAACAGAATCCAGAATCCAGAAATTAACGCATCTACATAGAGTCAACTGATTTTTGACAAAACACCTACATATATCGCATGGGGAGGTGACAGTCTCTTCAACAGATGGTGCTGGCAGAACTGGAAAACGATATGCAAAACACTGAAACAAGACCTTCACCTCACACCTTATACAAAACCAACTCAACATGGATTAAGGACCTAAATGTGAATCCCAGAATTATGAAGGCCATCAATGAAAAACTCGGGACAAATGTGAAGGCACTAATTCTGGGAATACACGAACTACAAAACATTTTGAAAACCAAACAAACAAAAATAGATAAAATAGATGAGTGGATCATACTAAAAATTAAAAACTTATGTGCATCAAAATACTTCACCAGAAGAGTAAAATGGGAACCCACAGAATGGGAAAAATTCTTTAGCAATGACACATCAGACAAGAGACTCATTTCTAAAATATACAGGAAACTACAACACCCTCTACAAGGAAAGGGCAAATAACCCAATTAAAAAGTGGGCACAGGACATGAACAGACACTTCACTAAGGAAGAAATCCGGGCAGCCAACAAACATGAAGAAATGTTCACGATCACTAACCATTAGAGAGATGCAAATCAAAGCAATAATGAGATATCATCTCACACCAACAATAACAGGAAAGATAAAACTTGTAGAAGACAATAAATGCTGGCGGGAATGTGGAAAGACTGGGACACTCCTGCAATGCTGGTGGGACTGCAAAACGGTCCAACCTCTCTGGAAAGCAATATGGTGTTTCCTCAGAAGGTTGAAAATAGAAATACCTTATGATCCAGCAATTCTTCTACTTGGTATTTACCCACAAGAAATACGAGCCAAAACACAAATAGATATATGCACACCAATGTTCATAGCAGCACTATTTACAATAGCAAAAAGATGGAGACAGCCAAAGTGCCTATCAACTAAAGAATGGATAAACAAATTGTGGTACATACACACAATGGAATATTATGCTACCTTGAAGAATAACAAGGAAGTGGCAAGCTACCGCATAACATGGATGAACCTTGAGGACATTATGTTGAGTGAAATTAGTCAATCACAAAAGGAGAAATACTGCATAGGACCACTACTGTAAAAGACTAAGAAAAAGAACCCATACTAAAGGGAGGGTGGGGGGAATTCTTTGTTGATAGCTGGTAAGTTGGGGGTGGGTGAGGGGAGGGAAGGAAGGTGGAGCATAGGGCAGGGATTAGACACAGGGGCAATATACAAGAAGGGAGAGGGGAACAGAAGAACAAAGCAGATGGGAGAACAATTAGGCATGTTTGAATGGGCTAAGTGGGACAGAGGTAAAGAATGATGTAAACACAACCTTGGAACTACAGGGCTCTGGGAAACAGAGATTGAGACATGGTTGGAATGGGGAAAAGGGGGAAATAATTTTAAGATGCTTGGCTGTCTTTTTAATCTTGGTATTCCTTGCATTATAATATAAAATAGACACTGGAGGGGGAGAGAAAGGAATAGTCAGAAACAACACCATAGAAAACTTGTACGTCTGTCTTCTGCCTGTAACTGATTGGAATACCTAAAATGGGGCTACAACATGCCCAGTGAAGGAGGCTTCCTGCAAAGCCTCTGCAATACATAAGACTATAGGTAGAAGCCTGAACCCACATCCAGATCTCCAGAGATGGGAAATTTCCACTTGAAAGGACAAGCAGACCAGCCTGGAACAGCTAGAAGAATAGTAGATACTTCTTGAAACAAAGACCTACAGGAAAATTACGAAACAATAGAGGCAGACGGACTGTTACTACAAGAACAAACAAGTTGCTTGCCCAGGAAACATCAAGGCAAGTGCTCGGGTACCCTCAGTGCAAACCCCCTTCCAAGACTAAGACTCAATAGGAATACACGCTCTGATGGGTGACCACGCTCGTCACCGATAAGGGGAAGTGAGGGAAAAACAACAATGAAGTGGCGAGCTAAGCCCTACAATGCAGAGAGTGAAGCGTTCAGCTGATAAAAAGAGAGGGCATATGCAGAAGAACACCCACAATTGCAGATAATACCACTTGACCTGGCTTCAATGACTAGGATGATCAGAGCTCAACCAGAAGAAGAAAGAGGAGGAAAAAAAAGAGTAATCTGATGCAATTTGATGAACTTGACCTACACCTATGGAAGCAGTAGCTTAAAAGAGGGAACAAATTCTTACAACAAGAATCATTCCCACCCCCCCTCCACACACAGAGTAGACAGGGATGGACAACTTGGACATTGGCTACCCAAAATGGGGGTTGGGGGGCGCTACAAAGGCAAGAAGTGACTGGCTTACAAGCTCTCAAGACGGAACCTAGAGCCAGGGGGCCTCGAGGAAGGCAGGATCTCCAGTGAGTAGTATCCAATCTGCCTATGCGGAGCTGATGAAATGAAATGCAGATGGGTCTCTTGTGATACAATAGTTATCAAGACTGACTATAAGGGTTGGAAGTGTAAAGGTAGACATTTTATAGCAAGGAGGGGAGGGAATAACTTTTCAGTCTAGGAGCGGAGGTCCCTAGGACCATCAACAGAGAAGAACCAAGAGCAGGAACCTACTCCAGAAGCAATGATGCCCGAGATGGAGGCAAAGACAATGACATGGAGCGATGGAGCAGCTGGGGACTTTAGATCCAGAGAGGGAGAGCAACTGTGTGCTGAAGACTGGGGGGAGGGAGGAGTGGATAGTGTAGGAGGCAGGCTTTGGTCGGTTGATGATG